TAACTGGGAGATGCAGACCCTGAATAGTATGATTTTCCTTGTATTTACCACATCAGTCACAGAAAGTGGTTTGGGGGTATGGAAACCCAATAAGAGATGTAAGTATTAAAGTTTGCCAGAATTAGTTCATTTGTATTTTACCTTCTTTAGGGCTTTTGACTTAATATCTAGCTACCTAAGAAACATGGTAGCACAGTGGATAGATGGCTGAACTTGAAGTCAGGAAGACCTGAATTAATATCCTGCCTCTGCTACACTTACTAGCTGTGTCACCCTTGGCAAGTCCCATAACCTCAGTATACTCATCTATTAAATATGCATAATAATAGCACCTACCCCAAATGATTGTTGTGAGGAACAAATGAGATAACACATTATTCTGTTAAACCCAACTGTGAGGGGAAGTACCTATAGGGCAAGAGGGAAGAGTCATGGGATGCCTTTGTTAGCCCTTGCTTTCTCCCAGTGAATTCAGGGTATCATGCTCATCACATGGTAGTGTAGCTGCTGATAAATTAAAGTCTATGGATCAGAGTTGGGAGCACTTGGGTGACATGGATCCTTAGCATTTGGAGGAAGCTCAAGAGGCAGGGTTTTGAGATCCCATTCTTACAGGGTTCTGGTGAGGATGAGATGACCTAACTCTTATCAATATCTTCTTGGTGTTTGCTCATTAAAATATCAATATCATCTCAAAGTTATCAGTGCCAACTTAGCCTTGCCTTATTAGCATAATATTTCTTTGGTTTTATTGCACATGCCTAGGGTTTTTCTGCAGTTTGCAGAACAAAACCATTTATTAAGATCCACTTGGCTTTTTCTAATTTAGCAGTCTCTGGATGTGGCCTTAATTTGGGAGGCAGTATTGGCAAATGACTTCTGTGTTCCCCTTTACACTCATAGTTCCTATTTCCTGTTTATTGGGGGAACCATAATGAGGTACAGTTTCAACATACGTATATGCAAAGCACTTTGCCAACTTTAAGTGCTATATAAATACTAATCATTATTATTATTACTATTATTATTATTAGCTTGTAGCTTCATCTGTAATAATTGTCTCTCTTTATATAATTTTTTCTTTTGAGACTTTGGGATTGGAAACAATTACAAAAAACAACTACATCATCTGACTGGTCATGTTGTATGTATATGTTATAGAATCTACTGTAGATGGATAATAAAATGTGCCTAGAGTTGAATAGGAGGAAGGAAGCAGGCTAGATCCCATTTGGGAATTTTAGCAGTTATTTCAGTGATTGAAACCTGCTTCCTGTAGCAAAAATCCATATTTTTAACAACAATATCCTGCAGGTGATGCTATGTGACTACCAATCATGAAATACCGTGAGCTCTGAAGAATGATTATAGAGATTCCATAGAAAGATACAAGGGAATGTAAGTAGGTATATTACCAATGAATATTCACTTTCAAGAAGTAGTATAAAAGACATCATCCCCCATGTATAGGACCAAAAAATGGCCATACACAAAGATAGTAAAACCATTGATCTTACTATCACCAACAAATGTATCACTCCATGTTGAAGAATTCTGAAATCCCCTCATCTGACCACAATCTATTAGATTTTCACCCCTGTCTCTGCCTTCCCTTACCAAAATCCAACTCTTCATCCATACTACGACCTTCAATGTCTCAAACTTTTAGTTTCCTCCCAGGCCATTACCCTTGCACTAGTTATACTTTCCTCTTTTCCCTATATTGACCCCTTCGTGAACCAATTCAACTATAATAGTGTCCTATTGTCTTGAGGCCTTGGCCCTCTTATCAAATCACTAATTGCATTTTGTCAAGCCTCAGCTTTGGATTACTCTCATCATCTGTCACCTTCACTCCTACACATGTGCTGCTGAATTAAGGTGGATAAAATCACACCATTATTTTGACTAAGTCCACTAGAAATGTATGTTACCCAACCTCTACTGGGTCCTCACTGCTGCCAGGCAATTCTTTCCTTATCAAATTTCTACCTTATTCTACACTACAGCTCTTTCGAATCATTTCATCTCTCCTCGAACTTCCCATGGCTTCCTAATTACTCTCTTAGTTGAGAATATAGCCTCATATTTTACAGAAACAATTGATGCCATTTACCATGAGCTCTCTTTTCTTACTTCTTCCTCATCTCATATCACTCAGATTAATCAATCAATCAATCAATAAACATTTATTAAGCATCTGATATGTTCCAAGAACTGTGCTAAGCACTGAGTATACAAAAAAAAGGCAAAAGACAATCCCTTCCCTCAAGCTTGCAATCTAATGAGTGAAAGCATGCCAACAAATATATACAAAGCAAGCTATATAAAGGATAAATAGGAAACAATTGACGGAGGGAATGCACTCAAATTAAGAGGGATTGTAAAAGACTCCAGTAAAAGATAGGATCTTAGTTGAGACTTAAAAGAAACAGGAGAGGTCAATTGACCAAGCAAAGGAGGGAGAACATTACAGGTATGGGGCCAGAGAAAATGCCTAGAAATGGGCAGATGTTTTCTGCCACTATCTCCTCTTTCACCCATGTCTTACATGAAGAGGTGGCCTTCTTCCTTACCAAGGCAAACTCCTCTGCCTGCAAAAATAATTTCATTCCATCTTATCTCCCCAAAAGACTGCCCCTTCTGTTATCTTCAGTGTATCACTTATCTTTAATCTCTCCCTGTCTACTGGCTCCTTCCTTACAAATATGTCTATGTCTCCCCCATCCTCAAAAAACCCTCACTTGATCCTTCTAACACTGCTAATTATCATCCTGTTATCTCTTCTGCCCCTTGTGGCTAAACTCCTTCTCTACAATAAGTGCTAAACCTCTTACTTCTGACCTTATCATTCTATTGAAACTACTCTCTTTAAAATTACCAATGATTTCTTAATTGCCTAATCCCATTGCCTTTTCTCAATCTTCATTCTTCTCTCTCTGTAGCCTTTGACGTGGTTGGTCACCCTTTTCTTTTTGATACTTTCTTCTCTTTAGGTTTTTGGCACACCACTCTCTCCTAGTTCTTCTCATACCTATCAGACCACTACTTAGTCTTCTTTGCTGAATTCTCATCTAAATCATGCCCTCCAAGCGTAACTGTCCCCACAGGTTTCTGCCCTGGGCTTTCTTCCCTTCTGTCTATACTATTTCATTTGGTGATCTCATCAGCTCTATTTTGATGTCTCAGCCTCCTACTAGACTAGAAGCTCTTTAAAGATAGTAACCCTGTTTTATCTAAATATTTTCTATATTTTTTCTATATTTTTCTGTTTTTTCTATATTTCTATATTTTTCTAATATATTCTATTACAGTAGGCAATATGCTTGAAGTATTACATCTTATAATATTTATCCTTTCTGCTAATTCTGTGTTGATTTTGGCTTTAAGCAGTTGATTTCTGCCTACACATAGCCAATTCTGTTTCTTTAAGATATAATTAGTTTCATTTTTATGATGCTGTTTGGTGCTTACCATGTCTAGTGAGCCTTCTAACAGTCTTCCTGAACCAAGTTCAGGCTTTTAAATAATCTACAAGTTTGTTGTCTCTATTATTTCTTAATCCCAAACCAATTTTCTGAAATATTGTTTGCTATAATTCCTTTTACTTACCTTGGGTCACCAGGTATCAAGGTATTCCTTGACATAATATGTAGGCTATTGTCAATTTCTTTGAAGAATTTCTCTATTTCTTTATCCCCTACAGAAGGTATAGTATAAGCAGGCCCTACACCTGATGATCTCCTTGCCAATGTTCATCATGAAAGGGTCTACAAGGAGAAATGACCAAAAGTCCCATAAAATGATAGTTCTTGTTGTACTTGAGCACATGAGGCAATTAACTCTTCCAATGCTTATTTCCTCTCTTCTAGTTCCATGTATAGCAAAAATGTAAATAAATCTGTGACCCAGTTCTCCAGTAATATACTATCTTGTTGATCACTGAGAAAAGATTTCACATTTAAAATATTAATAGTTAAATTAATATTTTTAGATAATCTGACTTTTCTTCCTTTTGTCCTCCTCAGCCACCATCACTGCAGAAATAGGACTTTAACAGAAATGAGCTATTTCGTATTTTTATCTTTTTCACAAGTACTTATGGCCAAATAATTTATCACCTAATGGCCAGCTTGCTAGTAATGAGACTCTCCACATTTAACTAGGCTTTAGTGTGTTTCTGGAACAATGCTTAACATATGTTCAGTTTAATCAAACCTGACGAGCTTATGCTCCCCTGGTCTAGCCTTGGAACAGCCTGAGTCATTCCCATTCCATGATGAAACATTACCACTTCTGATGGTATGTTAATTAAATTTTAAAAGTTTTTAATTTTTCTGAACTTGTGCCTAGCATAGTACCTTCACACAGTAGGTGCTTAATTGTTGTTTGTTGAATTGGTTTGAAGTTGTGTCTTACATCAGGTTATGTTGAAACTACATATTCTAATATAGAAATGCCTCTTTAGTACATAATCAACTGGGCCCAAACTAATAAGATTAAATTTAAGTGTTAAATGTAAAGTCCCGTGGTTAGGCTCAAAACAATCATCCTTACAAATATAGCATTGGAAAAATATGGCAAAATAAACAATTATTCTGCAAATGATCCTTGGATTTTAGTATTAACATGTGAGAGGATGGCCAAAAATGGTAATGTAATCTTAGGTTACATTCAAAGGATTGTGTAAATGATGGTTCCCCCCATACTTTCCCTGGTCAAATCGTATCTTGATTTTTGTATTCAGTTTAACCAAATGCTGTTTGGGAGGGAAAAGAGGAGGAAGTAGTAAACAGGAAGAAAAATATCATTGAATTATTATGGTAAAAATAATAGAAAAGGTGACATTTCACCTTAGATCTATAATCCTCTACTTCTATGAACTCAAAAAATTATCATGTAACATGCCATTTTTATTTTGGATATTTCTTGCTATGTTGTATTTTGTATGGATTCAGATAATTACACTTTTAAACTCATGTGTGTGTGTTTCTTTTTAGGTCGAAAATTTAAAAAGTTCAATAAAGTCAGAGTTATGAGAGCATTAGATGCTGTTGCTCTTCCACAGCCAGTGGGCCTTCCAAATGAGAGCCAAGCTCTAACACAGAGAATCACCTTTTCACCAAATCAAGAAATTCAGTTGATTCCCCCACTGATCAACCTGCTACTGAGCATTGAGCCAGATGTTATCTATGCAGGATATGACAACACAAAACCTGAAACGTCCAGTTCTTTGCTGAACAGTCTAAATCAACTAGCTGAGAGGCAACTCCTTTCTGTAGTCAAGTGGTCTAAATCACTGCCAGGTAAAAATAATTTATGTATGATGAAAAATAATCTAAAATTTACTGTGCCTGTTATAATAATAGATTGTTGATGCAATAAATGTCATAATCAGAAAATAGATGATAGATTTTAATCAATCAACAAACAAGTATTTATTGACTGTCTACTGTGCACCTAGTACTGCACTGGGTATCACAATGTAAAAGAATGAGAAAAGACCATTCTTGTCTATGAGTCGCTTACTATCCTGTAGGATGGTCAAGAATTATACATGTCAAACAAGTAGAGAGTAGTAGCAGATAGCTTATCATCAAGAGCTAGACTTTGTGGTTCTACATTTAATTGTAATAGTAATTCAGGGAAGGAAAAGATCAATGTGAATTTATTTCAACTCTAAAAAAAATTACAGTTCATCATGAGTTCAAACTAACTAGGTAAAAGTAGTTGGAAATGAGTTTAAATATTTGCTTACAAAACAAATTAACAGTTTTCACAATGTACTAGAGGCTTTTAAAAACCAATAAAGAAATAGAAATCAATAAAAAATTATTTCCTATAATAAAACAGTTTTTAAAACTCTTTAAGATGAGTCTTTTAACAACTATAGTTTCAGCCAAATCTGACCCTAGACAGAGAACAGAATAGTCAATCAACTGCCAGTACTGTGAACCAGGTGAAATCATCATCATAACAAGAATTTAAGTGCTTAACCTAAAAGTTTGTACTTAATCCCCCAACAGAGTCCCAAAGGAACATAGTTGCTGAGAGAATCATGGCAGCAGCAGCAACAGAACAGGTAGTTTTCTCCTGGATTATTTCTCCTGTTTTGTTTTGGACTGCATGATATAAAGAAAACATAATGCAGTTGTACTGCCCTTATACCCATGCATAGAAAAGGGGGAAATTTTTTTTTCTTACTTCCCTCTTCCCTCCAAATATACCTACACAGCAACAAAATCTTTATAAACCTTTAGGCAAACCTGCTTCTCCTTATTCATATGCCTTATTCATAATTAAACCCATTAAAACACTTTGGCCCCAACAAATTTGAATATTTTTTTTAAATATCTCCCCACCTGGCAACGTAATTCTCAAGTATTGTCCTCCCTCAATGGATATAGACCACTAGACCAGCATTCACCAAATAATGTTACTTAGAACCTTACTTTTCTATACAATATAAATAAGAGTGCTGTTAGAAAGTTTCCATGCTGGTGATATTTTCCCTACACATTTAAAAAAAAATAAAATTTTATATCTGTAAAAATATTTGTACATATAAATTTGCATATATAAATGTAAAAATAACTTTGATTTTCCTTATTTTCTCACATATTTTCTGGCCCCTTTATCCCAGGAGAATTCCATACCCCCATATTCCCTGGATCTGAATTTATGAAGTCTACCAATGCATTTCAAGGCCTAAAGTTTTCCAAACGTGTATTAATTTGTAAAACACTGGATTAGATGAATTATTAATAAAACTTCAAGAGAATATCAAGCATAAAGAAAATTTACATCTAGTTATATCAAATCCTTTTTTTTAAACCCTTTATGGATTTTATTCTCATTTATAAAACAGTGGTTTGAACATACTCAAGAAACAAAGATGAATTAAATCTAATATTCTAGGAAAGGTGAAATATTGTCTGCCTGTTTATAGGCTGTCCAAAGTGAAAATTCCTGAATTCCCACCAGTTACACTCTTATTGATAGGAGCTAGGCATGAAAGAATATATTTGTTCTTCAGTTTTCCACTTGAAAAGTACAAATGACAAATACCTTAAATATTTGTAGAATGTTTTTGAACCCATTTATGACAAAGGTAACTGTGGTTAGTTAAAAAAAAAAAAGCAATGGAAATCAAAAGTCCTAGATTCTAATGCTTACTTTGTCACTAACTAGCATCAGACAGTGGTCAAATTATTTAGCCTCTAAAGGCCTTACTTTTCAATGATGTATTAAGTTATGTGTGTTTAGCAAAAATTATAATTACCACAATAGTAGTGTAATTTGAGTGAAAAATCATTTTCTATTATTTATAAACAGGTGCCTGTATTTTTGTCTTCCTCATCTTTTTTATAGTTAGAGGTTTTGTTGACATATTTCATAGCTTTTGTTTCAACGTATAGTTTTAAAAAAAATAACAGAAACCTTAATTTTCAAGTCGACCTTAGTAAAAATAATTTTTGTAAGTTTCAACTTTAGCAAAAATCTAAACTATATGTTTTTAAATTTAGACCAGAGTTATATATATAGTCCACCAAAACTAATGTAACACCTAGAAGTGAGATATTACATGTAAATTTTGCCTCATGATTAATTTCTAACAAGTTTTATTTACAAGTCTAATTATGATATGTGAAAAAACAAATGTTTTATATGACTAGCACCTTATGCTATTAACTAAAAAGTATTCATCCCCACCCCTAAGTATTGTTTAAATAGTAAGATTAAATTGAACAGCACATTCTGTAGCTTGTAGTTTACAAATTTTGTTTAGAAAGAAGTAGAAATAAAAATAAGGAGACATGGCAGTGCAGAGTTCTACGTTTGAACTGCATTAAAATGTTAATAAAAATGTTTTCACCTATTTTCAAAAATTATTTTCATAATTTTGCTTTGAAAGGCTGTATTATATATTGTATTGTAATACTATACTTAGTTTCTTTGTAAGGAAATGGGAGCAACCGGAATTTTCCCAGATATGCATGTCAGTGTGTTGCAGTATCTTTCAGGGTCAAAGTAACTTTGTTTTACTGTTTTACTGATACTGTTACTAGAAAAGTTACTAGAAAGTTTTGCATACCATGTTACCAGGCTGTGAAAAGAGGTCACATGAAACACCAAAAAGTTATCAGAAGAGAATAATGTTTAGTTATTGGTAACCAGCATGTATATATTTAGATAACCATATAATCAACTCTTGTTTGCTCACAATAATTGAAGAAAGCCTTGGCATGGCCATACCACATGACAATGATTCATAGCATTTTTAATGCTATGTACAAAATTATACTAATTCCTTAAAACCCAGTAGAAATACCACAATTACTATATAGTACAAACATGATGGAGATTTTCCTGTTGCACAAGAAATGAAGAAAAATGTTAGAGACTCTTATTATTTTGGAACTGAATAATTATAGAACTGGAGAATTATGTGTGCTTATTAACCCAGTTTGATTTTTTTTTATCTTTTGTCCCATTTTTTAACTCCTTCTGGTACACAAAGTCTATAGAACAATAAAATGGCTGAAGATTTAGGGTGATCAACTTGGCTATTCCTAAAGGTTGTCTGGTGAGTGTCTGTGTGCGTGCGTGTGTGTGTGTGTGTGTGTGTGTGTGTGTTTATGTGTGTTTGGTGGGGTAGAGGAAATACATCAAATAATAACTTTTTAGATCATATGTTAAGGCTTGCAAAGTTTTTTTTACATCCATTATCTCATTTGTTCCTTACAACAGCCTCATGGGGTAGGTACTTACAGGTATTATTATCTGCATTTTGCTGTTGAGGAAACTGAAGGTAAAGTAAGTAATCCAAGATCATATAGCTTGTAAGTATGCGTGTTGTGGTTTGTACTGAGGGTTCACAAGATTAAGTCAAACATACTTTCATTATATCGCATTACCTTAACATGGAGAGGAAAGCTATTGAAGAGAATCTTCTTGGCATAGAACTCAAAGATGATTTTCACCAAAAAAATGTGTAAGAATGCATGTAATTTTCATTGTTTCAGTCGGTTTCAAAGCCCTATTGAATTAGTTGATCAGCTCCAATATGTTAGAAAGGAAAGGTCCAGAAATATATGGAAATAAATTTTTACAATTTTACTGACAGCATTTACTACCTTCAAGTTGTCACAGATAGGCCTAGTCTTGAGAAACACCCAGCAGTAGAACAGTGCGATAGCCTCACCTGATATTATTACAATAATAATGTATGGATTACAATTTCTGACAGCCTGACTCTTTTAATAAGCAACCTGAAGTACAGGCAGCATGTTCAGTATGCCATTTAAAGGAAGTTATGCACTAGCTGTGTAGCTCTGGGCAAGTCACTTAACCTCAATTGCCCTCACACACACACAAAAAGATAAAGGAAGTTATGTCACATTCAAACTGTGTCAGTTCTTGTGGTCATTCTCAAAGATTTTCAGCCATGCAAGTCAAGTCCAGTTCCATATCCCCAGCATGCATTGGGGTGATACACATAGACAAGTATTAAAAGAGGTAAGCACACAAAAATGTATCACATTCCCAAGCTTGTTTACTGAGTGAGTACACTAGGGGAAATTGAGAATGTTCAACCTAACAGCTAGATGGAGTTTGGAAAATACTGTGTTTGATTTCTTGCTCCATCTGGTGAGCTATTTAGGCTGAAAATTGTCTTTATCTACTCTTTAAAGCATTTTTGTTTGTATAGGTCAATGAGATGAGTATAAGGATTTGCCAGATTATTGTCCTTAAATACTACTGTGACTAATAAGAAAACTTAGTCATATGTGAAAGAACTCAAACTGGTGGATTTTTTGCCTATATTTGAGGGCTTTTTTCCTCTAGTGATTATCTGAAGATGAATCAAAATGGGGATGGGGGGAAATCCTCTTATTTTCCTTTATTATTTCAGTTCTTATCATCTCTAGTTGCTCATTTTCATATTGAAGGGTTTCTGCAGGCACTGGAACAATTTTGTGTCAGTTCATCAATTCACTTCACCAAACATAAAACTACTATGTGTTTGTACATTCTAAGAGATCCAAAACTAGGATAAGACATAATTTCAGTCCTTATCATGTTTATGGGCTGGTAGGGTCATATGACATGTACATAAATAATTATGGTACAAAATAATATATGAGAAGCACATCAGAGAGGCCCAGAGAACAATGTTAACTCTAATGAAGAAAGTGTCATTATCTACTTAAGTGAATCTGGGAGATGGAGAGGATTCTAGGAAGGCATGCTAATGAAGCATTTAACCTGGGCTTTAAAGGACAGATAGGAATTCAATTAGTAG